ACATATTTAGCAAGATGACAGGCTGGAGCAATAGCATAGCGGATATGGCGTTTGCCTTGCAAGCAGCCGACCTGGGTTCGATTCCTCTGTCCCTCTCGGAGAGCCCAGCAAGCCACCGAGAGTATCCTGCCTGCACGGCAGAGTCTGGCTAGCGCCCCGTGGAATATTCAATATGCCAAAAACAGTAACAAGTCTCACAATGGAGACATTACTGGTGCCCACTCCAGCAAATTGATGAACAATTGGAGGACAGTGCTACAGTGCTAGCAAAATGATAAAAATTCATCATCTTTCTTACAAAATATACTTAGGGAGCAAAAAGACAGTACAAGAGGTTAGAATACATGCCTACTGTGTCCAAGCCAGGTTTGATTCCGATTAGCACTTGGTCCCCAGAACATCACCAAGTGTGGCTCTGGAGGCTCCCAGCACTGGGTAATCCAGAGAATTCCAAGGCCCAAGGAGTTTTGCACCCTTTGCATAGGACCCTAGGTTTTCTCAGTACTGCTTGGTAAACCTCCTGAAAAATTAACAAATAAATAAAAATAAAATATAGCTAAATCTTCCTAAGTGTTCTTCAAATGATATTTTTCCTGAGAAACAGAATAAGTTATAAAAGCAAAACAAGTAGAAGAAAATATTAAGATGTATTGTTGACATGACAATGTACACACTGCAAAATAAGTATGAACTGTGAAAAGCAGAGTAGTAAAATAGTGACATAAAGTACAAGAATAATCTCCCAAGTGGGTGCTGGGACTTATAATAAAGAGATAATGACTCCCAAATGCTGACACCAGAGTATGCTATCAGAACAATCTGCTCAGAACTCAAGAGCCCGGCGACAGAGTAGAAAACAGCCCAGAGGTTTGCTCTCTACAGAGAACAACAGTTAATGTTCTTTCTGGTCATTCAACATTTATTCCAGTAAGAATTAAGCGAAAAGAAAAAGAACTGTTATCTATAAAGAAAAGATAATTAAAGCATAAATAGGATTTTGAGGTTTATGAGTTCGAAAGCAATCTAAAGAAAACTACACAGCATTCCTGGTAACATAAAAAAATAAACATCTTTAATGTAAAGTACTTCACTGCTTTGGAAATGACAATGATTTCACTCTGACAAAATACAAGATAATTATTTTTAAGTCACAGTTTTTAATTTAAAAATTACCAGTTACTCTCTTTAAAAGAGAAAATAAAATTTGTTATAAATGCAAATGTAATGAGTTTCAAATAAACCGTATTAGGATCTGAGTATTCAAAATGTAAAATTGTGCAGTGGTAGGTAAAACTATATAAGATAATTTGAATTTATGGCAACAAACAAAAGCCCTGACTCTCAGAATTATATATATCTTATATGCAATTAGAACTCATGTCATATACTTTGCCACAAGAGAATCACCTTACGTTAATAAGAAAAACAGAACTCATTACTTTTTCAGTTAAGCCTATATTCATTCTTTTCTTCTAAATGCAGGAGGTGATTTTCAACAACAACCAGATGTCTATATCATCAAGAAAAAGATAAACTCCTTTTCAGTTTTTAGGTCATCCAAAGCACTAAGCCTAAAAAGTGGTCCTCCATGATTCCAATGGACTGCTTATTTTTACCAAATAAATTTACAAGACATTGTCACTATAAAATTATTTACAGAAGCACATCGTAAAGTGTTGGAAGATCCCCATAGAAATGTAGATACATGAACTAGTAGTTTTAAGCAATATCCATAAAGCTGACAGTAACACTTCAAATAAAAAATTTTACTTACATCAAATAAAAAATAGCTCTCAAATATTCCAAAATATTATAATAAAACTCATCCTTTTCTACCTGTTCTGAAAGTATGTTTTGAGAAGTGAAAAAAAACCTAATAAATAAATAAAAACAATTTAACAAAGTACAGTGCTAACAATATATCCTTGAGGGAAACAACATACTTCTGCAATACCGGGAATCTTTTATTTCTTTTCTTGAAAAAAACAATTGAAAAAGTAGTAGTTCAAATTGTTAGCTGTAATAATGCTATTTCAAGATGATAACAAGCTATTTCTTCAGGTTTATTGTCATCGAATTCAACGCTTATACATGAAAATTTGATAGTATAAGACATCCCGAGAACTTCAGTTTCTTTCTTCATGAAACAGTGAAAACAGTAAAAACTGCCATGTAAGGCAAGTAATATTCCAACACCAAATATGGCAACCATCCTTTTTACCATGTCAAATAATATTAAAAGTTTTTTTAGGTTTCCAAAATATAACAAACCTGAAATTTGTAATGTATCAGTGTCCATAAGAGAGATGAGAAACAGACACTAGCTTCCTGAAATGCTATACATTATATACAAATGCTTGTTGAGTGGAAAATGGGATTGCTCCCAGTGTGACAATGATGAGTTTCAAAATATTAGAAGAAAGAATCATCAGTTCCCTAGTATATAATATCACTTGACTATACAATGTTACTCAAAGAAAAGATCTGGGCTATAGAAATAAACACTTTGCAATAGATAAAAAATTTCAGTATCATGTTCAAACCTTTTAACTTAATCTACTCTATATTGTAGTTTTACAAATATCAGCATATTAAAACATATAAACTAACACAACAAAATATCAGAATTGGTAGAAAAGAAATGTAATTCTAAATAGAAATAATTAGTGGTCAGTTTCCATATTATTCTCATATGATATAGAGTGATAGCACAGCGGTAGGGCATTTGCCTTGCACACAGCCAACATGGCCAACTCAAGTTCGATTCCTCCACCCCTCTCGGAGAGCCCGGCAAGCTACCAAGAGTATCTCACCCGCACGGCAGAGCCTGGCAAGCTACCCGTGACGTACTCGATATGCCAAACACAGTAACAACAAGTCTCATGATGGAGACAGTACTGGGCCCGCTCGAGCAAATCGATGAACAATGGGAGGACCGTGATACCGTGACCGTGATATAGATATTTGAAAACAATTTTATTTGCTGTTTCAAAGGGCACTCTGATTGGTGAAATCCTTTAATAATTCAAAATTAAAATAATTTGAAATATTTAATTCCTTTTACTTCCAGCACAGTCAGTAATTCTCTAAACTTAATGTACAACAAATTCCCTTCATTTCTTCTAACATGGAGTTCATAACTGATCAATACTTGCACAAAACAAGTAATTCAATCTCAAAATATCCAATAAACTTAGGTAAAATGTACAGTGTCAGATATATTACCTAAAGGGGTACTGGGCCCTGAAGAGAAAAAGCAGTTAATAAGTAAGTAGACTTCAACGTAATTGATTAACAAAAATTCTGTAGAAGCCATTAATGAATTTGCAAATGTAAAGAATACTCTCTTCATGAAAGGAAAGTTCCCCCCACACCCCCAGGAGCTTTTGCAGGGCACCAAGCAGAAGTCACTAGGAAGCTTTAAACCCTGGTCCAAGGGGATGTATTAGTCTTCAGATTGACCAGTGAATAATCTCAACCTCATTAGCATAGAGGCGTTTTTTGCCAATTTCCAAAAAAACAATTATGTCCTCTCATGCTTGTCACCTGAAACAGTCACAGAAACACTATACAACATATGGTTACTCAAAGGAACATTATAGTCGAACCCTAACAATCAGCAGTTTACCTCTTTGTACTCAAACTCCTCAAGTCCTGTAAATATTATACCTATGCAGGAACTCAGGAGGTAGAGTTTTGAAACATGATTTTCCTTGACTCCTTTACTTGTTACAGAAAATAAACTTTTGCATACTTATCTAAGTAGGCTGGGTACAGTCTGTTAGCTTGACAATCAGAGGCAAAATTCAAAACATGAATTACAAAAGTATCTGAATATAGACAACCAAATAACCACCTTCACAATACAAACATATATATGTATATAGATATACATATAAATATATGCACACATATAATTTCTTAATATACTAATGATATTTTTCACTATATTTAACTATACGCCATTGCATCATCTCTCCTGATAAGGTAAAAAACGCATTACAAAAAAATTTAAAAGTCTCCTGCCCCCGCACCTGGCTGTCCTCGCCGGGGCCCTTTAGAGGGGAGTGGGTTGAGTTTCTCTCCCCGCCCCGACCAGGGCTCTGGCAGCCGAAGACCTCCAGAACCAGCCACCACCATGCTAAGACCACTCTCCACACGCATGAAGGTACCGGCAGAGGAACAAAGGCACACGGGTCCCGGGGCTGAGATCTCCAAGCCTGCTCGGATCAAGGCTGAGCATCCTCCACCCAGATCCTCCATATTCCAGTAGGCACGGGTCACACCCACCAACTGGCCCCCTGGCGCCGTGTAATCCCATCAACAGCCAAGACCCAAAGACTATAAAACCCAGCTCCCGGAAGAGTGACATCTCATTATCTCATTCTTACTTTGGACAAACTGGCAGGTACCGACTGTAACCTGCCCACACGGCAGAGTCTGGTAAACTCCCTGTGGAGTACCAAATATGCCAAATACCAGTAACAATGATGGGTCTCATTCTTCTAACCCTGAAAGAGCCTTGAATATTTCACTTTTTAAAATATCTCAGTGCTAGGACAAAGGAGAAGTTACTGGGGCCTGCTCGAGGTAATCGATGAACAACAGGATGGTCGTGATCATGATCATGAAATGATTTTTTCTTTCTTGGAAAGTTCATTATTTCATCAAACAACACAACAGGCTATATCTCAATAGTTTAAAACTTACTGTGCCACTTCATAGGATTGCTCATTCATGTAAATTATCTCTATAATACACAGTAACACAGTAACAGCATTTTGTACAGCATTAAAAAATGCATTTTGAAAAATTTTTTTACAGTTCACTAATTAAAAAGATAATTGAAGCTTTGTAGCATCCCTCTAACTAAAACTGAACCTTTTTGAACCAATTTTGAACCTTTTATTTCTTAGGTATTTTAGAAAGACAGTTACCTAAATAATTCCTCAATAAACACCATTACATTATACAACTTATAGCATGAAAGTTTTACTTACTGAAACATCTTTAAGGTTTTTCTCAAAGGAGAAATGACAAAGCTCTTTAGAAAAATTAAACTTGTAAGTGTCAGCCGGTCCTGCTTCTGATACCAATGCTTTCCTCAATTCATCAACATATTTCTCTTTTTCCATTGCCATGTCCTCAGCTTCTTGGGAAATCTGTGATTCGGAAACTATGGGAAACAAGAAAATGTCCTAAAATTTTAAAAAAAAATTCTAAACATAAGAATGTATTTGTTTACCTATTTCCACTAATGTATCACTTGGGACATAAAAATTTCAACCAAAAATAAAATAGGTTTTCAAGTCAACTTTGATATTAAAAGAATTAACAATTTTTTAGAAATATACTAAATTTAGTTTCATATCTTATCTGAAGATCAGTAGGCCCTCTGTCTTCTTTTTCCTTAGAAAATATAAACACAGTGCAAATTGCCACAAAAGCTTCCTTCTATGGGTCATAGATAAGTTCTTCCCTAAGATGACTTATAAATCATTCATCATTTATAATTAAGACATTTATTCAGAATTTCTAATTTCTTCATCCTTGTTTCAATTATCAAATAAAACAGTATTCCTCACTAACATAAGCATAGTCAAATCAAAGTAAAAGTGGAATTCACTGCTCACTGCACTATGGGCCAGTAATACAAAAACTTGACAATGGTAGAAAGGGTAGGGAACTGCTCATCCCCTCTGTGTATGTATTATCCTGCTACTCTGGCTTCCAACTCTTTCATGTAGGTATCACTGTCCTGTCACTGTCCTCCCATTGTTCACCGATTTGCTCGAGCGGACCCAGTAACGTCTCCATTGGAGACTTTGTTGTTACTGTGTCTGGCACATCGAATACGTCACGGGGAGCTTGCCAGGCTCTGCCCTGCGGGCTAGATACTCTCGGTAGCTTGCCGGGCTCTCCGAGAGGGGCAGAGGAATCGAACTAGGGTCAGCCATGTTGGCTGCGTGCAAGGCAAGTGCCCTGCCGCTGTGCTATCTTAAAGATAATTTAATCATTCATAAAGGTTTTTATTTTAATAATCAAGTCTTCGATTCTGGATCAAAAAGTTACAGGGACTAAAATTCTTGCCGTACATGTAAATGATCCAGGTTTGGTCCCTATCACTATACTTGGCCCTAGAGCACTGCCAGGAGTGATCCCTAAGGACAAAGCCAGGAATAAGCCCTGAGCAGTGCCAAGAATGGTACCAAAACAAAAATATGAAATGAAACTGCTATAATTCTTTATATTATTGTCTAGTTTTTCATAATATCTGATACTTACAAGACCTAATTAAAAGCTTTAATTACACATTTTTAACATACAGTCTCATTCAGATAGGTCTTTATGTATAGTACCTGTGTAATTAATGTCATTTCTTCAATACACTTTTTTTGTCTTTTATGGTTTATAATGTGGATATGGTCCCCTTTTGGTCAGACTATCAAGTACTCCAGGTGCTGGGGATAATCTTAAATAAACATTGCTGGTTTTCCTTTCTCAAAATTCTACAGATTTCACCAGTTCTGAACTAGCTTTCAAGGTTATTTTATTTTACTGGAGGAGTGAAGGAGTGCCACATCCTGTGGCACTCAGGAGATATTTCTGGCCATGTGAAGGGGACCATTATGTGGGGCCAAGGATTTGAACTAGGGTCATAGTGGATGCAGTTGTCATACAAAGCAAGGCCTAAGCCCCTTTACTAGCTCTCTGACCCAAAAGTTATAAATATTTTAAACTTGAGGCAAACATTCAAATTTAAATTCAACACCCTACCAATATGTAACACAGATTTAGTATTTTTAGTTTTGTCGCTTTTTTTGGCCCTGAGAATACTGTTCTTTTTTTAAAATTAATTAATTATTTATTTTATTTAATGAATCACATGAGATACAGTTAGACTTACAAACTTTTGTGATTACATTTCAGTCATACAATGATTGAGTACCCATCCCTCTACTGGTGCCCATTCTCCACCACCAATGTTCCCAGTATTCCTTCCCTTCTTCCCCCAAATCCTCCACCTCTGTGGCAGGCACATTTCCTTTTACTCTCTCCTTTTGAGTGTTATGGTTTGCAATACATGTATGTAGGTAGTAAGTGGCCATCATATTTGGCCTATAGTCTACTTTCAGCAACTCCCATCCCGAGTGAGCCCTTCAAACAACATTCACTTATTCATTCATAGCCCTCAGTAACTGGTGTGGGTCTTGAGGTGCATTTTCTAGACTGATTCCAGGTTATATTTTTGTGTGTTTGTAGAAGTGGGGGTTTTTTTGTTATTTTTTGGAACTGTAAAGGACTCCCAACCAGTGTTCAAGTAGCCTTTGCAGTCCTTGGGCTGACAGAACTGCGATAATTAATGTTGATGAAGGGGGAAATTATGTGATGACAGGGATGGAAATGAAGTCACACACCAATAAGCCCTCTGCTGTCTCTATGGCATGTGGTGTGTGTATGGACTGTAGGTATGGGTTTACGCATTTATGATTATTTCATTAACAGAAAAAGATACTCAGTTCTGTTTCTTTTGATCTTTGTGCATCATGAACAAAGATTTTGTGTACCACAAATTATCACTAGAACACAAAAGACAATCAAAGGGCTGGAATGTTAATACAAAGAGTAGGTTGCATGCCTTACATGCAGCCAACTGGGGTTCAATCACCAGCACCCCAAATGATTCCCTGTGCCCAAGAGTGAGTGAGATCCCTCAGTACATAGCTAGGATGAGCCCTGCCTGAGCAGTGTCAGTGAGACTCAAAAACAAAGTGACAAAAAAACAAAAACAGACAATCTAATTCTCCCTTTAGAAATCTTGATGGTATCACATCATGGCATACTTTCTTACTTCAATTATTAAATTTTTTAAATTAATCTGTATTATAATCTAATTTCCACAAAACCACCAAATATAAGTTTAATACAAATAAAGTGTATTACTTTACTGATAATACAAAAGTAATAAAATATAATGAACTTTAAAGTACCCCAGAAATAGATGATATAAATTTGCTACTACACATTGCAATTTCTGTAGCACTGCAGCACTGTCCTCCCATTGTTCATTGATTTTGCTCGAGAGGGCACCAGTAACATCTCACAACAAATTGTGAGACTTGTTGTTACTGTTTTTGGCATATTGAATACGTCACACATAGCTTGCCGGGCTTTGCCATGTGGGCGAGATACTCTCGGTAGCTTCACAGGCTCTCCGAGAGGGGTGGAGGAATCGAATCCGGGTCGAAATTTTTGTTAAAGTCAAATAATAATCATTGATTGTGAACTAACTTCATGACTTGACCTTATGATAATCCTCTATAATGTTGAAGAGATGATAGACTGCATAATAATTAGACCCCAGAACGTTCATTAGATACAAGATTGCTAATGAAAAAGAAATATGTGAGTTTAGTGTGTGGGAGATTAAAAGGAACCCCATATCCTTTGAATTTCACCCAAATGAAAAGAAAAAAAATTACCCAAATTGAAGGTTGTAGCAATTAAAAAGTTATACCAAAAAGAAAAAATCCAGGATGAGGTATAGGAAGGAAATTCATTTGTATGTTTCAATTATTTAATTGCCTCAATGTTCTTAATCATGTTATATCTGTAAAGTGGCAAACCAAATTATATTTATGTAACAATACTAAACATAAAACTTTGTTATATTATTTATTTCAGATTTTGTCCCTGACATGAAAACATATGACAGAAATTAGATTTAAAACATTATTTAAAGGGCTGGAGCGATAGCACAGCAGGTAGGGCGTTTGCCTTGCACGTGGCCAACCCGGGTTCGATTCCCAGCCTCCCATATGGTCCCCCAACCACTGCCAAGAGTCATTCCTGAGTACAGAGCCAGGAGTAACCCCTGAGCGTCTCTGGGTGTGACCAAAAAAAAGAAAACATTATTTGATATATTTGAAAATAAATATATCAATGAATTTATCCTGGTTAAACAATTTTCATAAAAACAGAATTACAAACATTGCCAGTAAATTTTGTATGACATAAAATAAATACTTCAGAAATGCAAATTTTATTTCTATCCTTGGCTAAATGAACATTTTAGAGTTAATTACTCTTTTATTTCCAATCTTTAATGATTAAAAAAAAAATTGAACATATAATTACTGTTCTTTGCTTGGTGAATGAGGGCTACTTACTAGATTAAAATTTAACCTTTTTCTGTAATAATTACGTCTCTTAAAGCACCTCAAGGTCATCTGTTTGGCCAAAATTCCTTATTATACAAAATAATTTGTTAATTAGAAATATCTAAGTTGTAATTACATACCAGCAACCATTTCACCTAGGACCTACCTTGGGGTATACAGTTAGAACTGCTTTTCCCTCTCATATGATTGGCATTAAAATGCTCCTATGGTCCATAGCTCTGTTTACCTGCTACACCCTAAAGCAGGGTTATATCACTCCTTCAACACACCTACAGCTAGCTTGCAAACCTACACTCCTACACAGAAACAATCAGCCAAAAACCAACGTATCATAGAAAAATATAGCTTGAAAAAAAAACATCATTACTGGGTAGAATGTGGTTGAGTTGTATAAAGTCTGCTTCGTATTTGTGAGGCCCTGGGTTTTATCACTGGTAATGCCAAATAAAAACTGAAAAACAGTAATAATAATGATATCACAAAAGTACTGCAAATATTTTCATTGACAGTTCTTTATTTTACAATAATCTGTATGTTAACATGCCTTGCTTTTAGTCATTAAAAACAAATTTAAAAAATAAAATCCTGCACATACAAATTCTGACTGTGCTATATAATAGTATTTGAAACATTCAAAAAAGGAACTAAATTTCACACTCTTTTATCACTTTAAAAGATGGTGAAATAATTATAGTAGCAAATTTTAACAAAATATTTCAAATTTTAATAAAAAATACAAATGCATACATTCTTCATTGAAATATAAATTTAATATATTTAAAATTAAAAGTACTACCAACCCCACTTGCCATGAAGACAACACAAATTCTTGACCTAGTCAATCCACCTTCCATACCTCCTAGGACCCTAAAAAAAGATACATGCACAAAGTACCTGTTCTATATAAAGAAATGATTTAAGAACTATAACCAAGTTCAAATACTAAAGTGAGTACTGTTGGGGCTAAGGAGATGGCTCAAAGGGTTAGACACAGGTTTCACATGGAGGGGTCCCAGGTTTGATCACTGACACCACATGGGTTCCCCAACCACCACCTGGAGTAGTTCCTGAACACTGCCAAGTGGCACACAAACACAAACATAAACAAAAATAAGGATCCCCACTCCTCTGGAAAAAATCTCTCTCTCCCTCTCCCTCCTTCCCTCCTTCCCTTCCCCCCTCCCTTCCTCATATCCCCCTTCAATCATTCCTCTTCCTCCCTGCATTATTTACTATCAATCTCTTTAAACCAAGTTACTTCACTTAAAAACAAATAAATGAGGGGGTATGGTGCCACCAGCAGGTTAATCTGTACCTGTGAGGTGAGTGCATCAGCAGACTGATGGCAACATCAGACTTTCAGATACCCCAAAATTGCTGCTGTGCTTTTGGCCAGACCCCAAAAACTTGGAGCAAAGTTTACCAAGAAAGTAAACGGCCAAAAGTTAGGTATGTGGGAGACACACCCAACAAACCAACTCCAACTCAGCTATATAGTTGGAGGCATGGCCTCTCTGGTTCCTGATGGAACTGCTTAATGGCCATGATCCCAGAGTCTCAGAAACGAATCTCGGAACCCAAAGGCTTATTGGAAAGCCAGATATGAACCAGCGGTGACGGAGCAACTGCAGTCTCATGGGAAGGGGGGGTGCCAGATCGTCCTTCATGCCCTACTGAGGTCACGAGTTGCTCCCCACAAGCAGCTCTCTGGCACGGCCATGGCTCCAGAGGCAAAAGGACTTAATCCAGAGCCCGGCAGCTTGCGGCAGAAAAGTGAATGGACCATGCAATAAACTACAGCACCATGCCTCCCCAGGAGGGAAAGGGTGTTGCTCCCTTCCACCTTTTTCCCTCCTGGCAGCAAGGTAGCCACCACCTCAGAGCTTATTGGAAAGCCAGGTATGAACTGGCAGTGAAGGGGCAACTGCAGTCTCATGGGAAGGGGGGCGGTACTGGCTCATCCTTCATGCCCTACCGAGGTCATGAGCTGCCCCCCACAAGCGGCTCTCTGGCATGGCCATGGCTCCAGAGGCAAAAGGACTTAGACCAGAGCCCAGCAGCTTGCAGAAGAAAAGTGAATGGATCATGCATTAAACTACGGCACCATCCCTCCCCAGAAGGGAGAGGGTGTTGCTCCCTTCCGCCTTTTTCCCCCTTGCAGCAAGATGGCCACCACCTCAGAGCTTATAGGAAAGCCAGGTACGAGCCGACAGTGATGGGGCAACTGTAGTCTCATGGGAAAGGGGGCGGTACCGGCACGTCCTTCATGCCCTACCGACGTCACGAGTTACCTCCCATGAGTGGTTCTCCGGCACAGCTATAACACCAGACACACAGAAAATAGAAACCAATCTGGCTCTTTGCAGAAATCCAAAATTGTGGCTGTTTGACATTATATGATTCTCATAACCAGCTATAGAAAACAAAATATTTCACAATGCCTTTTCAGCAATTCAGATTGTTTGGGGGGAAATTCTAAACAATAATGGTGCATCTTTTGTCGAAATAATGAATGTAATCAATGTAGAGAAGAGTTAAGTAGAAATCATCTGCCTTACAGGCATTTGGAGGATTGGGAGTGGGGGTATACTGGGGTTCTTGATGGTGAAAAATGAGTACTGGTGAAGGGAAAGGTGTTTGATCATTGTATGACTGAGACTTAAAACTGAAAGCTTAGTAACTTTTTCCACAGTGATTCAATAAATAAATATAAAAATTTTTTAAAAAATTAAGGTGGAGTTCATGCCCAATTCAATCAGCTAATCAGTGGCTGAATAAACAGCAGTACTCCTACAAAAAAAAAAAAGAAAAACAACAAAAAAAACAAATAAATGTAGATGGTACTAGAATTTGGTGGGGCTTCGTGATTATTTCTCTATACTTTTTTAAAAAGCAGAAATCTTTAACGATTTTTAATTTGGGTATAGACAGACTGGTAAATAAAAGCAAATGTGTTAATACTAGTCAGTATTTATTTTAAAGCACCTCAACTGAACTATCAGTTAAAATCCAAGAACAGCATGCCATTAAACACTTTTTTTAAATCTGCTTTTATATTACCTGTCCCAGTCCAAGCTGACTGGCCATCAGTGAGTGTAATGAGAAAACCAGATCCTAGTGTTTTCTCCCAAGAGACTTGCAGAAAATGAGTGATGTTGGGTTCAGAAGCAAAACGGATCCTGCTTACTTTTTTCTCCATTTCTAGTCACCTGTAATAGAAGGATAAATTAAGCATTTTTGTAAGAAATTATAACAGACAATAATCTTTTTCGTACTTGTCTCTCAGATACACAAAGCACCAAGAAGAAAAAAAAGTCAATCACAAATTCAGTAATATTGTTCAATATTTACTCATAATTATACAGATAAAAAAAAAGAAAAGCAGAGGCCGGTAAATGGTCCATGAGTTACACGAGTTCCAACTGTAAATTATCATCTCCGATAATATGAAGACTAAATTTTCCTCAAGAGTCAATATCCTCTTTTTTTATAACAAAAAATACAAAACTGAGCACAAGAGTCTAAGAAAATGATCTAAGAATAATCTCAAGAATGAAATGCAACTAAAATTAATGAGGGTAAATATGCCTTAGTACCTGTTTGACAAAAAGACATATGAAATGTAAAAAAGAAAAGTAAGACAGGAACTGAGAAAGAAAAACCTCAGAATCCTGGAGTTGGCAGCAAACAGTCATTCCTCCCCTAAAAAAGAGGTTACTAGACCCAGTGAATCACTCTATCAATTGAGACAGAAAACTCTGTAATAGAGATGGGTGATATTGAGTTATATTCACAGGTTATAAAGTCATATACATCCTAAGACCTAAAAACTTGTTTTAAAAAAACTGTATAAAAATACTATATAAAGGGAAAATCATATATATATTTATACACACATATGTATAAACACAATTCAAGGAACTTCACAATTGAACAACTTCAAACGATCAAAAAACAGAACATTACAACCTCAGAACTCATTCCACACTCCCTTTCATTCTTACATCCTACAAACAGCTACTCTCTTTATTTCTAACAATGATTAGAATTTTAAGTGCTTTTGTACTACCATGTAATTATAATTATATACATAAGTTTGGGCTGGAGCGATAGCATAGCGGGTAGGGTGTTTGCCTTGCACATGGCCAATCCAGGTTCAATTCCTCCACCCCTCTTGGCAAGTCCAGCAAGCTACCAGAGTATCCTGCCCACACGGCAGAGCCTGGCAAGCTCCCCATGATGAATTTGATATGCCAAAAACAGTAACAACAAGTCTCACAATGGAGACGTTACTGGTGTGCCCACTCGAGCAAATCAATGAACAATGGGAAGACACTGCTACAGTGCTACATAGGTTTATTTTTTTCTGACTGGCTTCTTTTAACAATAGTTTTCTAGAATTTGTCCATGTCACTTCAAAGGAATGAATTCATTCTCCTGCTTGTATAGTATTTCATTATATGGGGCCGGGTATATAATTCATTCATCTATTCTACCAGAGATATGTATTTGATTATATTACAGGCTTTGAATATCACATATAGTACTGCCATAAACATTCTAGCAAATATCTATGCATTCTTGTTGGATATATACTTATTAGAACATAAGAAATATGATCTGACTATGCTCATGTTCAATTTCAGTACTGTATGTCAAAAATTTCTTTGAAAGGTGTAAGTTTAAGTGTAAGTTTAAGCTTGGTATATGAGAGTTTTAATTACTGTACAACCTTGCAAATATTTCTCATTTTAGCCATACTGGTAATAAAATTGCATTGTGGTTTTAATTAACAATTCCTTGATAAATAATGATATTGAGTATACATATATTAATTGTGCACTAGACACAATAAAACCTGAAATAGAATGTCTATGGCCTATCCAATCACACTTATCAAGATTTTTATTGCTTTGTTTTTATTGATTTATTCTTCATTTACTTGAATTGTAACTTATTTGGGTATAAATCCATGTATAAGTACATGCTCAGATTACATCTTCTCCCAAACATTAAGCTACTTTTTCATTCACAATAATATATTTGAATAAAAGAAGTTCTTAATAATAAGATTATATTTTACAGATTTTTTTATATTATGGTTAGTACTTTATGTCCTATGTGAAAATATTTTTGCTCAGTAAATTTTATCCTATATTAATCTTAAGCATCATCTTTATACCTTTCAAATTTAGATCTTTCATCCATCTGGAATTAATTTTTGGTATATCCTGCTGGTAAAGGTCAAGATATACTTTTTCCACATGGATATCTAATTGACCCAGTAATATTTATCAGAGTATCCTTTCCCAAGTGCACTGCTGAATTACCACAATCATAAATCATGTAACTTGATATCTGTACAAAGTTCAGTTGGGGAGGTTTGGAGGATTTGTCTATTTTTTTCTAAACAGGAGTACAATTACATGTCTTATATTTGTTTTATTACAGTAACCCTAGTCAGTGAATATACTCGGGGATATCAACTGAGAATCACTGATATAAGGGACTTCAATCTCATTAATGTTAAAAAAATAAATTTAGAGTTCCAACTAGTTTCAACATTGTTGATTATTCATGTTTCAAGTATTTTCCAATTTTCTGATTACCTCTACTCATCACAAAATTAAGTGAATTTATTTTAACTTTTGATAGGCACCAACCTGGGTATATGGAAAATGGATATTTTCTTCATTCCTTTTCTGTATTTTTGAGGGTTTTATTAGGGACACAAGGGTATTGACCTGTATCCTTTCCTTCTAACTAATCTGGGCATTCATTTCTGTGGGGTCAGGATGTTCTGGGATGAAACCTTTATTAGTTGCTCAAACCTTTTGAATCAGAGGGAAAATCATCCTGGAAAAATGCTTTGTATATGTGAGAATCCTCTATTCTCAGCCTTACTGTGCATAGGAAAAATTATTCTGGAGAGAAGCCTTATATATGTCAGGAGTGTGGGAAGGGCTTCATTGACACCACCAGCCTTTGCCAGGATAGGATATTCCATACTGGAGAGAAATCTTTTCTATATCAGGAATGTGGGAAGGTGTTTGCTCTTTCTTCAAGTCTTTGTAGTTATAGGAAAATACATACTGGAGAGAAACCTTGTTTTTTTTTTTCTTTGGCGTTTTGGGTCACACCCGGCGATGCACAGGGGTTACTCCTAGCTCTGCACTCAGGAATTATCCCTCGTGGTCCTCAGGGGACCACATGGGATGCTGGGAATCAAACCCAGGTTGGCTGCATGCATGGCAAACATCCCACTCGCTGTGCTACTGCTCAAGCCCCAGAGAAACCTTATTTTTGTATGGAATGTGGGAATGTCTTCTCTCAATCTGGGGGCCTTATTAAATAGTGGAGAGAAAGTTCATCAATGTCTGCCATGTGAGAAGGCCTTCACTCTTCCCTTAGGTCTTACTAGTTTTATGAGATTTTATACTGGAGAGACACCTTATATATGTATGGTATGTGGGAAGGCCTTCATTCATTCCTCAGCCTTCACTAGGCATATGAAAATGCATACTGGAGAGAAACCTTTTGATTTTAAGGAATGGGTAGGTCTTTTCTCAGTCTGTACAGGTTTCTCAGCACAGGAAAATTCATTCTGGATACAATCCTCATGCATTTCAGACAGGTGGGAGGACCCTCAGTCTGTCCTCAAAACTTACTGAACATATGAAAATTCAGAGTGGAGAGATACCGCATCAGTGTCAGGCATGAGGGAAGGCCTTCAATTTGTACTCAGGCTTTGCTGTGCATCTGAGAATTCACACTGGAGAGAAGCCTTATTTGCATAAGGAACAAGGAAAGGCCTCTCTTGAACCTTCATGCCTTACTTGTCATGAAAATGCATACCAGTGTGAAATCTTACACATGTCAAGAATGTGGGAAGGCCTTTGTGTTCCACTCAAGCCCTAGTTCATTTTCATTTTCATTTCATCATCCTGTTATTCATCGATTGCCTCGAGCAGGCCCCAGTAACGTCTCTTTCATCCTAGCCCTGAGATTATATTCAAGGCTCTTTAGGAGAATGAGACCCATCATTGTTACTGGTATTTGGCATATTGGGTACGCCACGGGGAGTTTGCCAGACTCTGCCCTGTAGACAATGTTAATTTCATATTGGATGAGTGATGCCCTAACCGAACTCCAAGAAAATGATACCCTAATACCAAACCCATTCAGTAATACATGGTTTGTTTGTATAAGGAGGTGGGGGTGCCCAATGTGGATATAAGAGGGAAATTATCCTGATAGTGTGGGATACCATTCCCATGCTGTCAGCACATACGGGAAAAATACTTCTTTTTATCACTCGGGTGCAGCTATATCACTGTTCCAGAAATTGGACTTGATGTGTCTGTTAATCTGTAAATAATGGGTCTTGGCGATAGAAGCCAGGAAGCAGGTGATCAAATAAGAATTAAATAAACAGGTACGGAAACCTCCCCGCACTTCAGGCTGTCAAGTTTCACCACTGTTTCATTCTTTGTTTTAACTCTGGCTTAGTTCACAGGCCCTGGTTTGGTTTGCTGGGGCTAATGATAGATTAACCATGATGCCCAGCAAATCCTTTGAAATTAGAAAAACTGGTAAGCATTCATTCTTCGGCCCCTCCTGTTGTGTTCTTGGGACACTCACTGAGCTGTGCACAGGCCGTCATTCTGCCGCTAAGGTCAGTAGTCCATGATTGGGGGGACTCAGGGAAACTTATGGGGTCCTGGGGTTGGTGTCATGTCAGCTGTTTGCAAGGAAGCACCTTTCCTGCTCCAGCATATCTGCACGCTCTATATTCAGATTTCCATTAGTTTTGTAAAACCATCAAGGAAAAAAATTTCAGGAAGTATTAAATTAGCAGAATGGCCTAGGCAAGTTTCTTTAATAGGGTGGATAGAGACATTACACGGACTTTACTGTGCATAGAAAGACATTTGGCAGTTCTTTGAGATGATACAGAGGCCCCTGAATTAAATGTTTTACAAATGGTGAGAACATGAGAGATTCACCAACATCTGCCCCCATCTCAATAGGCAATTCTACTTAACTGTGATTACTAGTAATAAAGGGCAGCCACAGACTGGGATCCACTGACCTCAATTCAACAGCAGTAAGGGGGGGGGGGGGGGGGGAGGCGGGGAGAAAAAGAAAGGTCAAACTTTTGCTTGGAAGTAGTAAAATTCCAACAATTTATATTCACCAGAATGGTAAA